CTGGTGATCCTTCTGGTCCGTCTGCCGTATTGGTTGCTGTTGTGCCATGCCATTGGAGGCCGTCGTGGCCACCGTCGGTTGGTGATGTTGTTGTTGGCTCTGCTGCCCATCTTGGTGGATTGTTGCTTGTTCATGGAGGCCATAGGAGGCCGGATTGGCTGCCATCGACTGTTGCTGTTGCTTTTGTTGCCCCCAGGGGGCTTGCTGCTGGATTTGCGGATGTTCATGGAGGCCATAGGAGGCCGGATTGGATGCCGTCGGCTGGAGCTGTTCGCATATGCCTCGTTGCTGCCGTGTTGTCAACCGGATGAGCCGATCACCGGTAAGTGAGAACTGAAATTGACTTAAAATTTCTCTAATTTTTCTGTTCTTATCGGGGTCCGATTTTGTTAGTCTCTTTATTAGTGGCGGATAAATTGATCTGTTAGTTAGTGGCTGAGGTAATTTTTCTTTAAGTGCTATATGCATCATTTCCATCCATATATCATCTATATAATTACGCTCTTCTAAATCAATATCAGTGGTCTCAGTACATACTATAAAGAACATAGCATCAATTATGTCCTCATAGATGTTGTCTTCTAGCTGTTGCTCTTCATCAGTCAGCTGTAGTTGTTCTTGTTGTTGTTTTTGTTGCACATTGTGCATTAATGGCTGTTGGATAGAGAAATTAAATTCCTGATTAATGCTATCTGATGGCAACTCTAGGTTGTCCATCTGATTATTATGCCATAGAGTGCATGTTTTGGGCACGCTGTATTTTATCTTACTACGCGCTAGTGTTGCACGTAGCAGCGTGTGCCCTCTATATTTCTTTTTAGACATAGAGGTACCTTTTCGGCTACGGCTGAGTTGGGGAGAAACATATTCTGCATGATTGTATATATCATTCATGAATTCGAATGCATCCTCAGAATCAAAATCAAAATTTGATTCTAAGGCTGCTTGTATATCATCTAAGATGTATTTTTGAAGCTCATCGACGGCTTCTATATATTGCTTATGGCGTTTATTTGCCTTATTGGTTGTCTGGCCGATTGCCAAATCTGTATTATTATCGCTGATGCTAGCGAAATTGAGGGCTGTTGCCTTATTGGTTGTCTGGTCGATTGCCAAATCTGTATTATTATCGCTGATGCTAGCGAAATTGAAGGCTGATAGCCGATTTACCTGTCTGCATGAGTAAGGAGTGGCTTTACATGTTAATACATTAATTGCAGTTTGTTCGTTCCGAGTGTTTGTTATGTTCTCCCAAACTCTACGGCCGTTTCTCTTAGTGTCTCTTCTTGTTTTATACATTTTGTATATCATTGGCGTCTTGACGGGCGCTATCAATCTGTGATCTAGATAGCGTCCGTGTGGCTGAGCCGTGCAAATTTGTTGCAGGCATAGAAATATTTGAGTTGGCTACTATTTGTAATAGTAGGCCAACTACCTGATCCAATTTTTGGGCCATTTGATGCATTGCAGCCATATCGCTTGTAAAAGCTTCTATAGCTGCATTATTGGCCGGAATTTCTCCATTTAGCTGTTTTTGTTGTTGTTGTTGTTGTTGTTGCTGTCGTTTGTATTGCTGCTGATGGGTAGATATTGATGTATTTGTAGCCCTCTCTGCCACTGATTGGCCCGACTGCTTCTTCTGCTGCTGTTTGTGTTCCAGCTGGAGCCTCTGCTGGAATTGTTGAAGATGTTTAGTGGCCGGATTACGTGCCCGGCCAGAATTGGCATGCCCTCTAGCCACCTGACTGTATGTCATAGTGGAGTTGACCATATTTTTATGCTTTTGTTGTTGACTGGACGCCTCATTATGCGCTACTTTAGTGCGCTTATTGACTGCTAGCTGATGCTTCTGCTGCTGCTGCTGATTAGTTGATGTACGTAATCTATTAGCAGCTAGCTTAGCTCGCTCATCCTTAAAGGCCTTGCATCCTTTATAGCTGGCAATATGTTCACCCTGGCAGTTGGCGCACCTAGAAGGCGCGCCTCTTGCCTTGGTGCACATTGTTGTGGGGTGTCCTAGCCCGCATTTGAGGCATATGAACGGTCGACGGCAATAGTTCTTGCTGTGACCATATGCCTGGCAACGGTGGCACTGAACAGGATCAGTGCGCTTCCGCTGCCTCTCCACTTTAACTTCCTGGCTGCCAAGATGCTTTATTTCCAGTATGTTATTATTAGTGTCCGCTTTCGGCTCAATTTCTATTTCAAAAATATTTATTGGCTTGGCCGTGTAGCGTTGTTTTAAAACGTCCACATATCTCACCACATGTCCCAATCTTCTCAGCTCCATGCGAATCCAATCGCATGGCGTTGAATAGTGCAGGTGGCGTATAATATACCGTGCTCCGCGCTCATTGCGCAGTTGATGGGTATGCCGGTATATATTTGATGCATCAAGCAGCTTGATTGCTGCATTGTATGCCTCAATATCGGCACATTGTACTCGCACACCACCTGCCTGAGTGCATTTGGTGGCGAATTTATTGGCACCCAAATTGTTCGTGATATTTGCAGTTAACTGTTGAATATCATCCACATTGGGCAGATAAATTGTGGGCACTCTGACCCTATGAGCTGTTGTCTGCTGGATTGGCTGGCCGGAGTCTGTATTCGACATACAGTTGGAGGCCGTTTCTTCAACTTCCATGTCATCATTCTCACTATCGCTGACCCTGTTGTTGTTGTTGTTGTTGTTGTTGTTGACTGTGGCTGTGAAGGTAGCATTCTTAATATTGCCAGCATTCGAGCCACCACTTTTAGCTGGGCGCTTATTAAGTGTTTGCTTAGTCGCTATTTTTTGTTTTTGTGGCCGCTTGGCAGCCGTATTGTCATTTGTTGGCTCAGGCATTTCGAACCCCAAAATAATATCCATTATATCAATTGGTGGCTGTCCGCTCGCCTCATTTTCAAATCCAGAAATTTCCATTAAATTTGTTGGCATATTTGCAGCATAATTATTTGCAATAATGTCCTCATTGCGGACGCATTGGCTAGCCGATAAGTTGGAATCGGCATTGTTTAACTCATTTCCAGCTTCCTGGCTTGTTAAAACACAGTGCGAGTCTGTGTCAGTATTGGCTGGGCTGTCAGTATACATGTTGCCGTGTACTTGCGCTCTAGCAACATGTTGCTGACGCCCCATGTTCTCGCTCCAAACATTTGGCTCTGAGTTCGTATCGAACATGTTGCCATGTTCGCTCTCACTCAGTCCATTGCTGTCGCTGTTGAATTCACTCAGCTCAGTTGCTGCTCTGCTGCCGCTGCCACCGCCACTCAAACGATCAAGTGGAGCCTCTGCCGACGCAAGCGCCGACAGCGACTGAGCTGCAGAGAGCGGAGTCGCTCGCTTATGTTTCGGCTTCGGCTTTCTCTTCTTCTGCTGCTGATGTTGTTGCTGCTTCTGATGATGTAGCGGTTGCCGTTGCTGGTGTTGGTGTGGATGCTGATTCAGCTGTATTGGAGTGCCAATGGCTACAGGTGCCGGGGTATGGGGGGCAACTTTCGCTGCAGCGATGGCCGCCTCCGCTTTAGACGCCGCCTTTTCGCGCATTTTTTCGCTTATATACTTTGCTTATATACTTGCCAAAATTTGCATATACGTAGTTATATGTATAATTTATGTATGTTTTTTTTTTTTTTGGGCGTAGATTTCCCTCTGTCTGTCTCCTCGTCTGGTCGTCTCTCCTCAAATTGTTGGCTTGTTAATATTATTAACAAAAAAGATTACTGCACTTGCACAAGTCACAATATTTAATTACTTTATTATTTATATAATATTATTTATTGATTTATTAGCATTTAAAAATGCTGATTGGCATTATTAATTTATTTAATAATATTATTTAATTAATTTATTGACTGTCATTTTTCCATTTAATTTCCATTTTAATTGTCTTTAGTGTTTTAAGCATTTAAAAATGCTGATTGGCGTTTAATTTTCATTTATTAAACTGATTTTAATTTAATTTATTAACCCAAGCATTTTCCTTTATTTGATTTTAATTTAATTTAATTTTTATTTTATTGGAAAATATTAAAAACACTTGTAAAAATTTTCGTTAGTTTGAGTGTTCTTGTTGCGCGCGGGCGCGGGCGTTTTTCGTTAGTTTGAGTGTTCTTGTTGCGCGCGGGCGCGGGCGCTGGCCGGCCGGCTGTCTGGAGCTCGGCGAAAACACGTCCGTCCACGACGAGCCAACCACAAGAACTTCAAAATGCTTTATTGTTGTCCATTTCTACTTAAACTATGCGTCACAAATCAGAAATTTTGACAACATTGGGTGACTCTTATAATTTACAAGACATATACTCTCTGGATTGTGAGGCAGAGACAATTGACATTGATTAACATTGAGATACATTTAACATGGATTCTCGACTAACCTACTTATTAACAGTGCCAAAATGAGTACGATTAACATTCTTAGTGTAGGTCAGTTTAACATGGGGGAAATTTTTTGCGATCAGTTGGCAATGCTGACGCAGTGTTGGCAAGTACATGTGTATTAGGAAGCATGCTGCTCGCATGTAAGTATTTGAATATTATTAATTTTAACAAAATTATTGGCTAGTTTAATTTGATTTCTATATCTACTTTGTATCGCACCGCTTTGCGGTGCGCAGGTCGCCTGGCTATTGCCCTGGAGTGGGTAATTTGGATCCCATGGAGACCAGGTCGTCGCTTGGCAGGCTGAGCCTGCAGCCATATGCGCTCTGTGGCCACGGATGTGACGAGCGCCTTCCAGGTGATGGATTGATGCTGTGCCCTTAGGCCGATGCTGGATAGGAGTAACCATACCCCCAAGATTTTTGGCCATTGTACTACCCATTTGCCACTAGTGTAGTGGATAAGTATGCACGCTGGCTTATTGGCATGCCGTTGTTGTTGCATTCGGCTTCTCTTTGGCGAGGGAGGATCAGCATAAGCGGGGTCCACATGGTGCCGTTTGCCGAGCTGTAGTCGCTGTTGGGATAATTGTAGATCCCAGGTTGAAGCTAAGTACCTGCATGGTTTTTTTGGCGTCAGCTCTGATTCAGAGACTGTGTGCTTGATGGCTGGACGTTTTTGCTGATATTCGTTATTCTTGCAGGTATTGTTAGGCCGTTGAGCGGTTTGAGATGGGATTCTCTTCCGTTTCAGCCTATTGGCTGGCGACGTGTCTTGGAGCTGCTGTTGCTGCGGCTGCGGAGTGGCTGGTAGCTGCCGGGTATCCAGCAGCTGAATTGATTGTTGCAGTTTCTGCTGTGAAAGCACCGTCTGGGCTGTCTGCGTAGGCTGCTGCTGCTGTGGCGGCTCATTGTCGTCATCTGCGTGGATTGGTGCCATCAGGCCGGTAGGCTGCTCATTTAGCCGGATTAGCTGATTACCAGAGGTAGGTATCTGTGAAATAAAAGAATGTGTGTTATTGTCCACGCCACTGGGGCTGCTGTTGATCCAAATGACAGAGTCATCATCATCATCATTGTTGGAATCGTCTGCCGTCAGGTCATATATTGTCCGTTGGGCTGATTGGTGGGCTGTTTGAATCCTCTGTTGCTCATTGTGGCTTTGTTGCTGCATCTCATCTATTTCGCGTTCAATTTGGATTCTGATTTGTTCCAAACGTTGGCTTAGTTGCTGTTCATCATTGTTGTTGTTTAGGTGTTCCTGTTGTTGTTGCTGTTGGCCAGTTGGTGGTGGTGTTTGCGCTATTTGTATATCAGACAGGATTAGTTTTTGTATGATGGCTGGTTGATCCCGGATGAAATCAATTAGATTTTCGCTTGACATGAGTCCACTTCTGTAGCGACGTCTAAGCGTGTTTATTTGTCCCTCGCCGAATCGAATGGTAGGTCTTGGCCGCTGTCCGTATGTATCTGTATTTAGACTGGGCGCATTGGCTTGTCTCCTTGCCTCCTGTTCCTCATGCTCAAGTCGCAGGAGTGTTGGCAGTCTGTCCTCCATTTCTTGGTCATCGGTTGTTAGGTGCTGCTGCTGCAATTGTTGCAAGGGGCGCACGTGACGTTCAAGCTGGAGCGAGTATAAGGGCCTATTTAGGCGTATTGGCGTATATGGTTCGCTTATTAGTTTGCGAGCATTTATATTTGGATGGTTGCTGAGGGCTCTAGCAAACCTTTCGCTAGCCTGTTGGTAGATTTCATCCACCGTGTCTATGCCGTGGGATTCCCGTATTGTCTGATTGCGCGTGTATCTTGTGGCCTTGGCTATTCTGCGTAGAATTTTATTTTGACCAACTTCAAGGCGATTGAATTGTGTTGATGATAATAATGCACCCCAAATTGGGAGTGCATAGCGCCATATTGGTGCAATCATTTGCTTATATATCGTCATTTTGCATGCGATATTTAGCGGGCTCTTGGCACCAATAAGCCAATCCAATTTTTTGCACAGTGCACCAGTGCGTGCACATAGCGTAGTGACGTGTTGTTTCATGTTCAGCTTCTTGTCCAGCTGAACTCCCAAATATTGGTGTCTTGATTTGTTGGCTATTTCCTGACCGTTTAGCCTTGGTGAAGTTACTGTCTGGCTTTGTCGTAGTGTCGTGCGCAATGTAAACATGACATGTGCTGTTTTGCTCACATTTACTTGTATGCACCAACGTTTTGTCCATTTCTCAAACGCTTGCAGATATCTATCATTTCTATTGACAGCTATATCGGAAAATGGCGCTGCACACATTACTACCGTGTCGTCGGCAAATGTGGAGAGCAGCATACTGGGAGTTAGTGTTGTATCTGCAGATGCAGATGTTGTTGTTGTAGGCTCATTTGTGGCCCATAAATTCCTCAACGCAGTTGAGGGGAGTGGCATGTCCGATGTGTATACTGTGTACAGTATCGGTCCCAATACACTGCCCTGGGGTACTCCAGCGCTAATATGTCCAATTCTCGATTTAGTTCCCTCATTTCCATTTACAATAAATGTACGGTCAGTGAGATAGCTTTTGAGTACATTCCACAAAACTGCAGGTAGTAATTTGGCCAGTTTGCTTAGCAGACCCTCGTGCCAGACACGATCAAATGCTTCGCAGATGTCGATGAACACAGCCGAGCAGTATTGTTTCTTTTCATACGCATTCAGTATGAATTGCGTTACTCTCGCCAATTGTTGTTCTGTGCCATGTTCCTTGCGGAATCCAAATTGGTGGTTCGGTATTGACTGGGCAAAGTTTTTGCATTCAAACATCCTCGTCATAAGGATTCGTTCGAATATCTTGCTGAACCCTGCCAGCAGACTTATTGGCCGGTAGGAGCTAGCCTTTTCCGTTGGTTTACCCGTTTTTAGGATCATTTTAATCTCTGCACATTTCCATTGGCGCGGAAAATGTCCGTGTCTAAGTATGCAGTTGTAAATGTGAGTGAGATATAGTATCGCTTTATGCGGAAGTGACTTAATAACATGATTGTCAATGTTATCAATGCCCGGCGTCTTTTTTAATGTCAAGGCGGCAATCAGTTGACATACCTCCTTGTCTGTGACTGGGCGGAATGGCGGTGTATTTATCTGCCCATGCTGCTGTTGTTGCTGTAGTTGCATAAACTGAGTCACCTCATTGCTGGTCTGTGATCGCTCTTCAGCCGTATTTGTTAAGTTTAGGCTGAATCTTTGCTCAAGGTATGCTGCAAAGACTTCTGCCTTCTGCTCATTCGTTTTTGTCCATTCAATAGTTCTATTATGATTTTGTATACCATTGCCATTGGACGTAGTGGTGCCAGAGATAATTTTTAATGGGCGATTCGGCTCTGGCTGACGTTTTATGAAGTTTGTGGTCCTCCATAATTGTTGTATCCGATTTGTGTCCGTTTCGTTTATCTTTGCTATTTGCCGGTTAAGATTATCATTCTTATCACGGCGCAGTAATCTATTTAGACGGTTTTGAGCCTGTCTGTATTGGCTGCGTGCTAACGGTGTGCGTAGCAGCATATATGAAGATTTTAGTTGCCTTTTTATTATTATTTGCCTCAGAGTGCTTGCGCTTAATTTATTTCGGCCATATCTCGTGCGACTTAATTGCTGCCATCTTCGGCGGAGGGGGGGAGTTGCAGCTGAGGCTGCATTCTCTATTTTTCTATACAGGATGTCGATTGCATCCTCTATGTCAGTTCCCGAATTAATTTCGATGTTTAATCGTAGATTTTGATTAAGTATTCTCTTAAATTTCTTGATATTTGCATTCCTTGGCAAAATTTTATTTTTTACATTGTTTCTATTCAGTGCCTGACCGATAGCCAGGTCAATAAGTATTGGCAGGTGATCAGAGTTTAGGTCGTTTATCGAATATGTACGTAGACGCCTGTCTCCAATGCCTCCATAGATGGCGAAGTCGATTGCGGATGGTTGATTCCCTCTTGCGTAGGGATAATGCGTGGTTCCGCCCGTCGCTAATATGTTATATTTTTTGTTCGAGTGTATTGTCCTCAATAGCTCCCTCCCTCGTTGGCAGTGTCGCATATTGCCCCACCAAGTGCTTTTGGCATTCCAGTCGCCACATATTATGAATCCCTGCGGACTCAGGCTATCAATGTGGCTAAGTAGTTTGCCAAAGTTTTCTGACGTCCATTTATATTGCGGTGGGCAATATATCGGAGCGACTAAAATGGTTTCCTGTGTTGATAAGGTGATGGCAACTGGTGCGCATTGGCAGGCATCTTGCATTATTGGTTCCAGAGCAATATGCTTGATGCCATGTCTGATGAGTATGGCGACACCTCCAAATCTTTGATTTGGTGCTTTACGTGTTGCCACATATGTGTGATAGCCATCTATGCTTGGTGAGACGTTGTTCGCAAATGGTCCTCTGACTGAGTTAGATGCTGACTGGCTGGCTCTTTGGCGTAATTCAATGACCATCATAATGTCAACATTGTGATGGCACATAAAGGCTTCCATTTCTCTGCACTTGTTGGATACTCCAGCAGCGTTCCAATAGGCCATTTTGAATGGGTGGCCACATTGTCTGCTACTGGCATGATTCCTAGTGTTATTGGCTAAGGTATTATTACTAGTTTGTATAGTAGTAGTGTCTAAATTGTTATTATTATTAATATTATTTAATGTGTTGGCATTGGTATTGTTTATATTAACGAATTGGCTGTTAGACATTTTTAAGGTCATTGGCGGCATTGAATGAGCTAGCAATGATGCTAGCTAACATTAAGGTGGCTGGGCATAGTATGTCCAGTGATTGTATCTCAGCATTATTTTTTAAAGTTGCTGTGTTATCCCGTGGGATGAGATGTTTATGGGCACAGTGCGAGTCTGTGTCAGTATTGGCTGGGCTGTCAGTATACATGTTGCCGTGTACTTGCGCTCTAGCAACATGTTGCTGACGCCCCATGTTCTCGCTCCAAACATTTGGCTCTGAGTTCGTATCGAACATGTTGCCATGTTCGCTCTCACTCAGTCCATTGCTGTCGCTGTTGAATTCACTCAGCTCAGTTGCTGCTCTGCTGCCGCTGCCACCGCCACTCAAACGATCAAGTGGAGCCTCTGCCGACGCAAGCGCCGACAGCGACTGAGCTGCAGAGAGCGGAGTCGCTCGCTTATGTTTCGGCTTCGGCTTTCTCTTCTTCTGCTGCTGATGTTGTTGCTGCTTCTGATGATGTAGCGGTTGCCGTTGCTGGTGTTGGTGTGGATGCTGATTCAGCTGTATTGGAGTGCCAATGGCTACAGGTGCCGGGGTATGGGGGGCAACTTTCGCTGCAGCGATGGCCGCCTCCGCTTTAGACGCCGCCTTTTCGCGCATTTTTTCGCTTATATACTTTGCTTATATACTTGCCAAAATTTGCATATACGTAGTTATATGTATAATTTATGTATGTTTTTTTTTTTTTTGGGCGTAGATTTCCCTCTGTCTGTCTCCTCGTCTGGTCGTCTCTCCTCAAATTGTTGGCTTGTTAATATTATTAACAAAAAAGATTACTGCACTTGCACAAGTCACAATATTTAATTACTTTATTATTTATATAATATTATTTATTGATTTATTAGCATTTAAAAATGCTGATTGGCATTATTAATTTATTTAATAATATTATTTAATTAATTTATTGACTGTCATTTTTCCATTTAATTTCCATTTTAATTGTCTTTGGTGTTTTAAGCATTTAAAAATGCTGATTGGCGTTTAATTTTCATTTATTAAACTGATTTTAATTTAATTTATTAACCCAAGCATTTTCCTTTATTTGATTTTAATTTAATTTAATTTTTATTTTATTGGAAAATATTAAAAACACTTGTAAAAATTTTTTTTAGTTTGAGTGTTCTTGTTGCGCGCGGGCGCGGGCGCTGGCCGGCCGGCTGTCTGGAGCTCGGCGAAAGCACGTCCGTCCACGACGAGCCAACCACAAGAACTTCAAAATGCTTTATTGTTGTCCATTTCTACTTAAACTATGCGTCACAAATCAGAAATTTTGACAACATTGGGTGACTCTTATAATTTACAAGACATATACTCTCTGGATTGTGAGGCAGAGACAATTGACATTGATTAACATTGAGATACATTTAACATGGATTCTCGACTAACCTACTTATTAACAGTGCCAAAATGAGTACGATTAACATTCTTAGTGTAGGTCAGTTTAACATGGGGGAAATTTTTTGCGATCAGTTGGCAATGCTGACGCAGTGTTGGCAAGTACATGTGTATTAGGAAGCATGCTGCTCGCATGTAAGTATTTGAATATTATTAATTTTAACAAAATTATTGGCTAGTTTAATTTGATTTCTATATCTACTTTGTATCGCACCGCTTTGCGGTGCGCAGGTCGCCTGGCTATTGCCCTGGAGTGGGTAATTTGGATCCCATGGAGACCAGGTCGTCGCTTGGCAGGCTGAGCCTGCAGCCATATGCGCTCTGTGGCCACGGATGTGACGAGCGCCTTCCAGGTGATGGATTGATGCTGTGCCCTTAGGCCGATGCTGGATAGGAGTAACCATACCCCCAAGATTTTTGGCCATTGTACTACCCATTTGCCACTAGTGTAGTGGATAAGTATGCACGCTGGCTTATTGGCATGCCGTTGTTGTTGCATTCGGCTTCTCTTTGGCGAGGGAGGATCAGCATAAGCGGGGTCCACATGGTGCCGTTTGCCGAGCTGTAGTCGCTGTTGGGATAATTGTAGATCCCAGGTTGAAGCTAAGTACCTGCATGGTTTTTTTGGCGTCAGCTCTGATTCAGAGACTGTGTGCTTGATGGCTGGACGTTTTTGCTGATATTCGTTATTCTTGCAGGTATTGTTAGGCCGTTGAGCGGTTTGAGATGGGATTCTCTTCCGTTTCAGCCTATTGGCTGGCGACGTGTCTTGGAGCTGCTGTTGCTGCGGCTGCGGAGTGGCTGGTAGCTGCCGGGTATCCAGCAGCTGAATTGATTGTTGCAGTTTCTGCTGTGAAAGCACCGTCTGGGCTGTCTGCGTAGGCTGCTGCTGCTGTGGCGGCTCATTGTCGTCATCTGCGTGGATTGGTGCCATCAGGCCGGTAGGCTGCTCATTTAGCCGGATTAGCTGATTACCAGAGGTAGGTATCTGTGAAATAAAAGAATGTGTGTTATTGTCCACGCCACTGGGGCTGCTGTTGATCCAAATGACAGAGTCATCATCATCATCATTGTTGGAATCGTCTGCCGTCAGGTCATATATTGTCCGTTGGGCTGATTGGTGGGCTGTTTGAATCCTCTGTTGCTCATTGTGGCTTTGTTGCTGCATCTCATCTATTTCGCGTTCAATTTGGATTCTGATTTGTTCCAAACGTTGGCTTAGTTGCTGTTCATCATTGTTGTTGTTTAGGTGTTCCTGTTGTTGTTGCTGTTGGCCAGTTGGTGGTGGTGTTTGCGCTATTTGTATATCAGACAGGATTAGTTTTTGTATGATGGCTGGTTGATCCCGGATGAAATCAATTAGATTTTCGCTTGACATGAGTCCACTTCTGTAGCGACGTCTAAGCGTGTTTATTTGTCCCTCGCCGAATCGAATGGTGGGTCTTGGCCGCTGTCCGTATGTATCTGTATTTAGACTGGGCGCATTGGCTTGTCTCCTTGCCTCCTGTTCCTCATGCTCAAGTCGCAGGAGTGTTGGCAGTCTGTCCTCCATTTCTTGGTCATCGGTTGTTAGGTGCTGCTGCTGCAATTGTTGCAAGGGGCGCACGTGACGTTCAAGCTGGAGCGAGTATAAGGGCCTATTTAGGCGTATTGGCGTATATGGTTCGCTTATTAGTTTGCGAGCATTTATATTTGGATGGTTGCTGAGGGCTCTAGCAAACCTTTCGCTAGCCTGTTGGTAGATTTCATCCACCGTGTCTATGCCGTGGGATTCCCGTATTGTCTGATTGCGCGTGTATCTTGTGGCCTTGGCTATTCTGCGTAGAATTTTATTTTGACCAACTTCAAGGCGATTGAATTGTGTTGATGATAATAATGCACCCCAAATTGGGAGTGCATAGCGCCATATTGGTGCAATCATTTGCTTATATATCGTCATTTTGCATGCGATATTTAGCGGGCTCTTGGCACCAATAAGCCAATCCAATTTTTTGCACAGTGCACCAGTGCGTGCACATAGCGTAGTGACGTGTTGTTTCATGTTCAGCTTCTTGTCCAGCTGAACTCCCAAATATTGGTGTCTTGATTTGTTGGCTATTTCCTGACCGTTTAGCCTTGGTGAAGTTACTGTCTGGCTTTGTCGTAGTGTCGTGCGCAATGTAAACATGACATGTGCTGTTTTGCTCACATTTACTTGTATGCACCAACGTTTTGTCCATTTCTCAAACGCTTGCAGATATCTATCATTTCTATTGACAGCTATATCGGAAAATGGCGCTGCACACATTACTACCGTGTCGTCGGCAAATGTGGAGAGCAGCATACTGGGAGTTAGTGTTGTATCTGCAGATGCAGATGTTGTTGTTGTAGGCTCATTTGTGGCCCATAAATTCCTCAACGCAGTTGAGGGGAGTGGCATGTCCGATGTGTATACTGTGTACAGTATCGGTCCCAATACACTGCCCTGGGGTACTCCAGCGCTAATATGTCCAATTCTCGATTTAGTTCCCTCATTTCCATTTACAATAAATGTACGGTCAGTGAGATAGCTTTTGAGTACATTCCACAAAACTGCAGGTAGTAATTTGGCCAGTTTGCTTAGCAGACCCTCGTGCCAGACACGATCAAATGCTTCGCAGATGTCGATGAACACAGCCGAGCAGTATTGTTTCTTTTCATACGCATTCAGTATGAATTGCGTTACTCTCGCCAATTGTTGTTCTGTGCCATGTTCCTTGCGGAATCCAAATTGGTGGTTCGGTATTGACTGGGCAAAGTTTTTGCATTCAAACATCCTCGTCATAAGGATTCGTTCGAATATCTTGCTGAACCCTGCCAGCAGACTTATTGGCCGGTAGGAGCTAGCCTTTTCCGTTGGTTTACCCGTTTTTAGGATCATTTTAATCTCTGCACATTTCCATTGGCGCGGAAAATGTCCGTGTCTAAGTATGCAGTTGTAAATGTGAGTGAGATATAGTATCGCTTTATGCGGAAGTGACTTAATAACATGATTGTCAATGTTATCAATGCCCGGCGTCTTTTTTAATGTCAAGGCGGCAATCAGTTGACATACCTCCTTGTCTGTGACTGGGCGGAATGGCGGTGTATTTATCTGCCCATGCTGCTGTTGTTGCTGTAGTTGCATAAACTGAGTCACCTCATTGCTGGTCTGTGATCGCTCTTCAGCCGTATTTGTTAAGTTTAGGCTGAATCTTTGCTCAAGGTATGCTGCAAAGACTTCTGCCTTCTGCTCATTCGTTTTTGTCCATTCAATAGTTCTATTATGATTTTGTATACCATTGCCATTGGACGTAGTGGTGCCAGAGATAATTTTTAATGGGCGATTCGGCTCTGGCTGACGTTTTATGAAGTTTGTGGTCCTCCATAATTGTTGTATCCGATTTGTGTCCGTTTCGTTTATCTTTGCTATTTGCCGGTTAAGATTATCATTCTTATCACGGCGCAGTAATCTATTTAGACGGTTTTGAGCCTGTCTGTATTGGCTGCGTGCTAACGGTGTGCGTAGCAGCATATATGAAGATTTTAGTTGCCTTTTTATTATTATTTGCCTCAGAGTGCTTGCGCTTAATTTATTTCGGCCATATCTCGTGCGACTTAATTGCTGCCATCTTCGGCGGAGGGGGGGAGTTGCAGCTGAGGCTGCATTCTCTATTTTTCTATACAGGATGTCGATTGCATCCTCTATGTCAGTTCCCGAATTAATTTCGATGTTTAATCGTAGATTTTGATTAAGTATTCTCTTAAATTTCTTGATATTTGCATTCCTTGGCAAAATTTTATTTTTTACATTGTTTCTATTCAGTGCCTGACCGATAGCCAGGTCAATAAGTATTGGCAGGTGATCAGAGTTTAGGTCGTTTATCGAATATGTACGTAGACGCCTGTCTCCAATGCCTCCATAGATGGCGAAGTCGATTGCGGATGGTTGATTCCCTCTTGCGTAGGGATAATGCGTGGTTCCGCCCGTCGCTAATATGTTATATTTTTTGTTCGAGTGTATTGTCCTCAATAGCTCCCTCCCTCGTTGGCAGTGTCGCATATTGCCCCACCAAGTGCTTTTGGCATTCCAGTCGCCACATATTATGAATCCCTGCGGACTCAGGCTATCAATGTGGCTAAGTAGTTTGCCAAAGTTTTCTGACGTCCATTTATATTGCGGTGGGCAATATATCGGAGCGACTAAAATGGTTTCCTGTGTTGATAAGGTGATGGCAACTGGTGCGCATTGGCAGGCATCTTGCATTATTGGTTCCAGAGCAATATGCTTGATGCCATGTCTGATGAGTATGGCGACACCTCCAAATCTTTGATTTGGTGCTTTACGTGTTGCCACATATGTGTGATAGCCATCTATGCTTGGTGAGACGTTGTTCGCAAATGGTCCTCTGACTGAGTTAGATGCTGACTGGCTGGCTCTTTGGCGTAATTCAATGACCATCATAATGTCAACATTGTGATGGCACATAAAGGCTTCCATTTCTCTGCACTTGTTGGATACTCCAGCAGCGTTCCAATAGGCCATTTTGAATGGGTGGCCACATTGTCTGCTACTGGCATGATTCCTAGTGTTATTGGCTAAGGTATTATTACTAGTTTGTATAGTAGTAGTGTCTAAATTGTTATTATTATTAATTATTTAATGTGTTGGCATTGGTATTGTTTATATTAACGAATTGGCTGTTAGACATTTTTAAGGTCATTGGCGGCATTGAATGAGCTAGCAATGATGCTAGCTAACATTAAGGTGGCTGGGCATAGTATGTCCAGTGATTGTATCTCAGCATTATTTTTTAAAGTTGCTGTGTTATCCCGTGGGATGAGATGTTTATGGGCACAGTGCGAGTCTGTGTCAGTATTGGCTGGGCTGTCAGTATACATGTTGCCGTGTACTTGCGCTCTAGCAACATGTTGCTGACGCCCCATGTTCTCGCTCCAAACATTTGGCTCTGAGTTCGTATCGAACATGTTGCCATGTTCGCTCTCACTCAGTCCATTGCTGTCGCTGTTGAATTCACTCAGCTCAGTTGCTGCTCTGCTGCCGCTGCCACCGCCACTCAAACGATCAAGTGGAGCCTCTGCCGAGCAAGCGCCGACAGCGACTGAGCTGCAGAGAGCGGAGTCGCTCGCTTATGTTTCGGCTTCGGCTTTCTCTTCTTCTGCTGCTGATGTTGTTGCTGCTTCTGATGATGTAGCGGTTGCCGTTGCTGGTGTTGGTGTGGATGCTGATTCAGCTGTATTGGAGTGCCAATGGCTACAGGTGCCGGGGTATGGGGGGCAACTTTCGCTGCAGCGATGGCCGCCTCCGCTTTAGACGCCGCCTTTTCGCGCATTTTTTCGCTTATATACTTTGCTTATATACTTGCCAAAATTTGCATATACGTAGTTATATGTATAATTTATGTATGTTTTTTTTTTTTTTGGGCGTAGATTTCCCTCTGTCTGTCTCCTCGTCTGGTCGTCTCTCCTCAAATTGTTGGCTTGTTAATATTATTAACAAAAAGATTACTGCACTTGCACAAGTCACAATATTTAATTACTTTATTATTTATATATATTATTTATTGTTTATTAGCATTTAAAAATGCTGATTGGCATTATTAATTTATTTAATAATATTATTTAATTAATTTATTGACTGTCATTTTTCCATTTAATTTCCATTTTAATTGTCTTTGGTGTTTTAAGCATTTAAAAATGCTGATTGGCGTTTAATTTTCATTTATTAAACTGATTTTAATTTAATTTATTAACCCAAGCATTTTCCTTTATTTGATTTAATTTAATTTTTATTTTATTGGAAAATATTAAAACACTTGATAATTTTTTTTCGTTAGTTTGAGTGTTCTTGTTGCGCGCGGGCGCGGGCGCTGGCCGGCCGGCTGTCTGGAGCTCGGCGAAAACAGTCCGTCCACGACGAGCCAACCACAAGAACTTCAAAATGCTTTATTGTTGTCCATTTCTACTTAAACTATACGTCACAAATCAGAAATTTTGACAACATTGGGTGACTCTTATAATTTACAAGACATATACTCTCTGGATTGTGAGGCAGAGACAATTGACATTGATTAACATTGAGATACATTTAACATGGATTCTCGACTAACCTACTTATTAACAGTGCCAAAATGAGTACGATTAACATTC